TATTTGGCCCATTCCTGGCGAAACCTTAGCTTGAGGTGATCGACACTCTGGTATTTTTTAGTGCCAACCTTGCTTTGCAAAAATACTCCAGACACAATTGTACAACGGATTGGTATCTGGAGATTGTGGTGGCCATGGTGCGCTGGTAATGAAGCAAGGAACCTCATTTTCTAACCATTCTTGGGTAGCGCGTGCTAAGTGCGATGGTGCTGAGACCTGTTGAAATGTCCATGGTCTGCGGCCAAAATGTTTGCGTGCCCATGACATTAATACACCCTCCAGAATATTTTCGCAATAATATTCGACATTTATTCTGATTAATACGAGCGGAGAGCGACCATCGGCTGTTATGGCGGGCCACACCATCTCCATTGCCGGCGCTTGAGCTCTGGTGGCCAACCGAAGGTGCACATTTTCGGCTGACCTTTTTGGCAAGTAAACACGATCATTTTGGTTGTTTACAAACTGCTGGACAACGAAGGTTTTCTCATCGGAGAAAACCAAATTCGGCAGTCCACCACTTTCGGCCAAGCGAAGAAACTCTTTAGCTCTTTTGAGTCTATTTTCTTTCTTTTGCGGTGTAAGTTCTTGCCCTTTTTGAAATTTCAATGGCTTTACCCCGAGCTCGTTTTTCAATATTTGCCGAATGGAATATTGCGATATGTTCAGATCACGAGCCATTTTTCGGCCACTGCGACCTCTTTACTTTTCAAACCATTTCTGCTGATGTTGCTGTATTCTTCCACTCACTTCCTTCACGTCGGGCTACGCTACCAGTGTTACGATTACGAGCGATGGTACGAGACACAAAAGATTTATTCACATTTAAATGCTGGAGTGCTCTAACGATAGCCGCTTGTGGCTTTCCAGCCAAATATAAAGAAATCACACTATCACGCTTGAATTCCATCACGAATAACTTTTTTTCTGGAAAATTCTCACCAAAATACTTTTGTACGCTTGTAAACAATATAATGAGCTGTCACTGGAATAATTTTAACAGCTGTCGGACAAGTAGCTTAGAAATTACAGCAGTCTTTAGTTGGTTGCAGTTTTTTCATCCTACTCTCTATGGGAGCTATATATAATCTGATCCGATTATCACCAATTTTAATAGGGTTCGTCCTTTGATACCTTTGTACCAGAAGGGGTAGATCGATACATCTCATCTTCACACCAGATCTTGTGTTAATAGAAACAATGGGATGTATAAAATGTGAAAAGAATCGGATGCTTATTTCGGATTTAGTAACCGTTTTTGTTATTCAAAACTTTGACGCTTGGAGGTAGCAGTGGAGTGGACCGATGTATTCCATCTTCACACCAGACATTGGATTAATAAAATTATTGGGATGCGTGAAATTTTGATCTCTCTGTGGGGGAGGAACTTGATGGAGTGGATCGATATTGTCCATTCTCGCACCTGAAATAGCACTGATGCAAATATTAGGATATTCAAAGTTGGAACAACATCGGATAATCCTTTCTCTTTCTGTGCAGTAAATTATTTTCTTTGAAAATTTTGACATTTTGCGTGGGAGGTACCAGAAAGAGTGGACCGATATTGCCCATCCCCGAACTCGATCTAAGTTTGATAATAATATTACGATGTACCAAGTTTGGACCAAATAGGATACTCTCTTCGAGAGTTATCGAGCGCACAAGCCAGGTAGACATACGGACAGACGGACATCGCTAGATCGACTCCAAACGACCTGAAACGGATTTGGTCCAAAGAAACCTAAGGTCTAAAACCGTTATTTCAAATGATTTACACCCTCTGTAGCCATATGGCTGAGGGTATAATGAATCTATAGTCTAGCCTTAAGATATGCAATAAGTTTTGGTTTGAATTTTTAGTAAATCAATCTGCCCTGTAAATCTATTCTCTATAACATTTTCACAACCGCAAGAAAAAACAAACTTACAATGGAATAAAATTTCTCAAATGTTGAACTGTTCCTAAATTTACGGATAACCTTAAAGATTTGCAATTTATTTCAATATTGTTTCACAGTGTTTTTAAAGGCAATACTTAGCTCATTCACAATTTTCTTACTTCGATGCATTCTGATTAAATAGAATTTCTTATCTGAGTCTAGCGAGCTGCTAATCTTTCGTATGAAATTACGACCTACATTTTTTAAATGATAAATCGAAAAACAGTTGGAGAGCACAGCTCCAACATTAAACATTGAAATCAAGAGTCGGCAATCTCTCGCAAAAATACTTAGTATTTTTATTATTATTATTATTTTAAACCAAATAGAAGTAAAATTTAATATTTACTTTAATTTCGTAACATACGTTCGCGTTCAAATTCAAGTGCGTTAACCTCTGATCGCAATAAAAATCTATTTGTCGTACGACGTGAAAATGTGATATGCGATTTTGTTTGTTTTTTTTTCTGATAACTGTATCAAAATCGACGTCAAGAATTTAGTCGCGGAATACTTAATTTATAATTAATAAAAAAATGGGTAATAATTAATTTTTGTAATGCAACCCTGTATGTGTGTGAAAGATACATTTTTAAATTAATCTCCAACTATGTCAATTTTCAGTCCAGTGTCGAACAGTTTTATGGCATGTCGTATTTGTTGGCTTTATCATAAACTATCTGATATGCATTAATCTGAATATTACAATTGTGGATATGGTGGTGGTTCCACCATCTCGCTATACAACAAATGATTTGAATCTGCCATCAGTAGAGCTGACCAATGTCAGCTTGACCCTTGGGAAGTCGAATTTCATTAATGCAACAAACAATGGAACTATAGAAAATCAAATTTCGGATTTGTATGTCTCAGAGAATCACGTAAGCAAACATCAAATTCAAACATTTGTTCTTGTCTTTTATATGTAAACTCATGGTAAAACCAGTAAGGAAAATTCAAAAGTCGGGCGGACCCGACTATATGATACCCTACACCACTATTCATATTAAGTAGAGCTCCCGTAATAAGAGAATTTACTTGAAGTAGATCATACCACCTATCAACATTTGGCTTTAGAACAGTTATAATTTGGTCTCAGGGGAAACTAATATAGGGGAGACATATCCAATTCTGAATCGATTTTCACTAAAATTGACGGAGACATATTAATCTTTTATACCAAATAACATTGCTATAGAGTGCATGAGATGGATTATATTAAACAAGTAAAAAAGTAGCTAAGTTCGGCCGTCCAAACTTTTAATACCCTTCACCATTTGGAAGGAAATTGAAAAATTTCAAAAAAATGCCGAAAACTACCATTGAAACGAACTTCAAATACGAAATTTGAAATAATTCCGGTAAATAATGTAGCTAAAATCATCAAAATATCGAATATAGGGAGGTACTGTTATATGGGGGCTATACGAAGTCGTGGTGGACCCGCAAAGATCATTTTTTCATCATCGGCTATAATTTCAATTACGAACATTAAATAGCAAATTTGAATCAATTCAGGTGAATAAAGTCGCTAAAATCATCAAAATACGGAATATATGGGGGTTACACCAAAACGTGGACTCCCAGAATTTTCTTTCACAGGCTTTAGTACCCATAGGAACTTCAAATGCGAAATTTAAAAACTTTTCCGGTAAATAATGTCTCTTAAATCACCAAAATACCAAAAAAAGGAAGGTACCATTTTATGGGGACTATAAGGATTCCTGGACCTGCATAGACAATTTTCTGTCACAGGCTGAAGTATTCATTAGGAACTTCAAATACGAAATTTGAAATCATTCCGGTAAATAATGTAGCTAAAATCATCAATATACCGAATATCGGGAGGTAGCGGTATATGTAGGCTATACGAAGACCTGGACCTGCATAGCAAATTTTCTGTCACAGTCTGCAGTACACATTAGGAACTTTAAATACGAAATTTAAAACATTTCCGGTGAATAATGACGCTGAAATCATCCAAATTCCGAATATAGGGATGCACCGTTATATGGGGGCTATAGGAAGACATTGACCTGCAAAGGCAATTTTATGTCACAGGCTTTAGTACATATTAGGAACTGCAAATTCGAAATTTTAAACAGTTTCGATGAAAAATTTCGCTAAAATCATTAAAATACCGAATATAGGGAGGTACAATTATATGGGGGTTATACCTAATAGTGGACCTATAAAGCCCATTTTCAATACCAAAAGTCCTGCAGGACAAAGACACATCTGAGGGAAATTTTTTCAACCTACTTCAAAACGTTCGGAGGCTAGAGCGATTTCCACAGACGGACGGGCATCGCTAAATCGACATAGGATTTTATGCTGATCAAGAATATACAGGGTGAGATAAAAAAAAACTGTAACAAAATCAAATGCCGTAATTTTTAAATTTTATTGAGTGAAAGCAAAATTTCGGAAATATGTTTTCTGATCGAAGAAAACCAAATTCGGCAGCACACCACTTTCGGCCAAGCGAAGCAACTCTTTAGCTCTTTTGAGTCTATTTTCTTTCCGTTACTATGTAAGTTCTTGCACTTTTTGGAATTTCAATGGCTTTATCCCGAACACATTTTTCAATATTTGCCGAATGGAATATTTCGATATGTTCAGCTCACGAGCCATTTTTCGGCCACTGCGGCGCGGGTTTCTATCAAATCGCTTCTTTACTTTTCGAACCATTTCTGCTGATGTTGCTGTTTTCTTCCGTCCACTTCCTTGACTTCTGGCTACGCTGCCAGAATCACGGTAACGAGCGATGGTACGAGACACAAAAGATTTATTCACATTTAAATGCTGGAGTTCTCTAACGATAGTCACTTGTGGTTTTCCAGCCAAATATAAAGAAATCACACTATCACGCTTGAATTCCATCTCCTTTTTCTTCTGGAAAAATCTCACCAAAATGCTTTTGTGAGCTTGTAAACAATATAATGACCTGTCTTGGAAATGACAGCAGTCTGGAGTTGGTTGCAGTTTTTTCATCACACTCTGTAAAATCTGGTATTCTATACATATTTCCAACCCACAAGTGAACATTTCTATTTTCAGACAATTCCGGAAAATTTAAAAAAATTCCATTGGAACGAACGCGAACAAGCCTTAGCGTTGGGTTCGTTTTTCTGGACACATTGGATAACACAAATACCTGGCGGTATACTATCCAGGAGATATGGCACAAAACTTGTATTCGGCTTGTCAAATGTCATCAGCTGCTGGATATGTTTTCTTATACCCTATGCTTGTTTTCTGGACTTCAATGCCCTCTTGGTTGCAAGGATGTTACAAGGTCTATTAACTGTAATTATTATTGTCTAATAATAGATCAGATTTACATTAATCTCATTATCCTTTCTAGGGACTTTCGTGGCCAGCAATGCACAATATGACGGCCAAGTGGATACCGCCCAATGAGCGCAGCAAATTCATTACCGCCTATTTTGGGAGTGCTGTAGGTTTGGCCCTGGCATATCCTCTATTTGCATGTGTCATTCACTGGGCCTCATGGATTTGGGTATTTCACATAACTGGCATTGTGGGAACGATTTGGTGGTTTGCCTGGTTATATTTTGTCTATGACACGCCGGCGGAACATCCTCGAATCAGTAGAAAAGAATTGCAACATATACAATCGGCATTGGGAAATGCCATACAAAGTGGTCATAATCTGAAAACTCCCTGGTTGGCGATATTTACATCAAGACCCGTTTGGATGAATGTCATCGGACAATGGGCCGGGGCATGGAGTATATTTACCGTAATGACTCAAGCACCGACGTATTTCAAAATAATACATAATTGGGATATACGAGCGGTATGTGCAAGAGCAAAGTTTTTACATAACTCCAATTCACTAGTAGATAGTTTACGGGAAAGGAAAGTGAAATTTTTCCTAGAGAGGGCCAAACGACCGCTTTTCATTTCGGCAACTTTTCTGGCGTGATTTAGAACATGTACCTTTTGCGTAATAACTAAAAAAAAAACAAGTAAGCAAAGGCTACAGTCGAGCGGGGCCGACCGTTGAATACCCTACAACACTAAATAAACGATACAGTTTATAAAGGCAAGATACTCGAAAGAATTCCACAAGATATTGTGACAAATAATAAAAGAAAACCATCAGGTTTCGTTCTCTAATTTTCGAATAATAGCAACTTAACTAATTTGCTCATTTCCAATTTATTGGTAGATGTTGCACTTAAATGGTCTTCCTAGATCTGGAACTAATATTTCCCAAAGACCTATAATCTCTCAAAAGTGGCAAAAGATTAACATTTATTATTGGTTTTTGACTGAAACGCATCTATATGAGATACAGTCATTTGACTATATTCTTCAACGAAATCAGCGTTAACGAAATAGCCAGAAGTGCGCCTTTCCTGTGCTTGTGAATTCTCCAAAAAGTCACTGGAATGGACATTTTCGTATTTTGTCTACAAAAGTTGGCAAACTCCTTCACACATTGAATATTTTTGGATGGCCATCCAAAACTGCTTGGCTTTTGCAATGTCCGGTAATCCCCATTCAAATGTGCGTGAGGATCGGGCGATAATTATGACCTCCTGACAATTTTGCAGTTTTTTGGTCCATTTCAACCCCTAAATATATGGCGATCATCTCCAAAAAGAGTAGGCTTCTATTCTGACCCTCATCTTATCCCCATGCAAAATTTCGTAAGAATCGGGCCATAAATGCGATCTGTATATGATATCCTGATATCCTAACGACTTAGTTTTGTTAGCTGTAGAAATATTACCAAATGTTTAATTCAAAATGAAAATATGCCAAAAATATGACAAAATTGAAAAAATATGAGAAAATTTTACAGAATCAATATTTTCATCTTTAGAGAGATATTTTTATGCGATTTTTTTAGACGTTTTTTCTTTCCTGCCAAGAGGCCATTCTGAATTGATGAGAACTGTGGAAATCAGTTCAGCCGTTTTCGACATATAAGAGCCCTTTCAAGCATATCTTCTTTGATAGACATATATATCGCACATATTTTGCTATATATCCGATTTTTTGGATCTTAACATCAATGTAAAGATCAGAAGTAACCTTGTCATGGCTTTGTGATTTCCCCGGGACATAAAATATTCGCGGTTTAATGAAAAATTTAAAAAAAAGATATGGTATATTTTACCCGCTAAATATTATCCGATGACCACCCAAATGGGTAGGCTTCTTGGCAGCCCTAAACTCTAGCTACATGCGAAATTCCGCGTCGATTGGTCTATAATTGCGACCTGTATAGCTACTGCAAAATCCGACATTTTTTTAGTAATTGGTCCATTTCAACCCCTAAACATTTGGCGATCATCTCCAAAAGAAATAGGGTTCTATTCTGACCCTAGCCCCACCTCCATTCTAAATTTTGTGAAGATCGGGCCACAATTGCGACCTGTAGAGTGATTACAAATTAACATGGACAGACGGACAGACGGACAGACGGACAGACGGACGGACGGACATACATAGCTAGATCGACTCAGCTCGGCGAGCTAGGAAGATCCATATATACTTTCCTATGTGGGAAATCAATATTTCGTGGTGTTACATAATTTTTGGCCCAATCAAACTTATAATACCCCCAACACATAGTGTTGTAGGGTATAACTAGTAAAAAAGCTATAAGTTCGGTCGGGCCAAACTTTGAATACTCTCCACCATTTGAAACGAATTTGGCAATTTTCAAAAAAATAAAATCCGTTCAAAATTCTGTTAGAATCTTAAAAATACCGAATGTAGCCGTTATGTTAGGGTCTATACGACGACGTGACTTATACGAAGACGTAGACCTGCACAGACAATTTTCTTTCATAGGCTGTAGTATCCATTACGAACTTCAAATAACAAATTTAAAACAATTCCGATGAATAATGTCGCTAAAATGATCAATATTCCGAATATAGGGAAGTACCATTACATGAGGACGATACAAAAACGTGGACCGGCACAGACAATTTTCTGTCGTAGGCTGTAATGTCCATTACGAACTTCAAATACCAAACATGAAACAATTCCGTTGAATAATGTTTCTGAAATCATTAAAATACCGAATATCGGGAGGTACCGTTATAAGGAGGTTATACTAAGACATGGACTTGCACAGACAATTTTCTGTCATAGGCTGTAGTATCCATTACGAACTTCAAATACCAAACTTGAAACAATTCCGGTGAATAATGTCACTAAAATCATCAAAATACCGAATATCGGGACCTACCGTAATATGGGGGCTATACGAAGACGTGGAACTGCACAGACAATTTTCTCTCATAGGCTGTAGTATCCATTACGAACTTCAAATACCAAACTTGAAACAATTCCGGTGAATAATGCCGCTAAAATCATCAAAATACCGAATATCGGGAGGTACCGTTATAAGTAGGTTATACTAAGACATGGACCTGCACAGACAATTTTCTGTCATAGGCTGCAGTATCCATTACGAACTTCAAATACCAAATTTGAAACAATTCCGGTAAAAAATTTAGCTAAAATAATCAAAATACCGAATATTTGGAGGTACCATTATATGGGTGCTATACGAAGACGTAGACCTGCACAGACAATTTTCTGTCATAGGCTGTAGTATCCATTACGGACTTCAAATACCAAATTTGAAACAAATCCTGGGAATGATGTCGCTAAAATTGTGAAAATACCGAAAATAGTGAGGTACCATTATATGGGGCCTGTACCAAAACGTGGACCTACATGACCCATTTTCAATACCAAAATTCCTGCAGACATAATATACATTTGAGTAAAATTTTATCAACATACTTCATTTCGTTCGGAAGCTAGACTGATTTCCACAGACGGGCGGATACTTTGTGCGGTCTTAAATGTATATTTCGAGGTGTTACAAACCGAATGACAAACTTATTATACCCTCCATACTATGGTGGAGGGTATAAAACATTTCATTTCAGACTGGAGTTTTCTCGGGATTTCCTCATATTTTGCGAATGTTTTTTGCCTATTCCTTTTCCTTGTTTGCCGATTATCTTTTGCGTAATAATAAAATGAGTCGCACCAATGTTCGAAAACTGGCAACCGGAATATGTAAGTACTTAAATATAATATTCATATCTTAAGAACTTCCATATCAAATATTAATATGAAGGTTGCATACCGAATGCCATAATGATGGCGGCACTGGCATTCTTTGGTACCAATCGTATACTGGCCATAACATTTATTTCATTGGCGATTACATTCCAAGGCTCTGGAACTTCGGGTCCACTCTCATCAATGGTCGATATAGCACCCAACTTTGCTGGCATCATTTCGGGTATTTGTGGTACTATTGGCAGCATGCCTGGCTTTATCTCAGCCTATATTGTGGGTGTGGTAACCTTTAATAATGTAAGTTGCAGAAAATAGATTAGAAAACTAGAAAATAATTTTCAAATCATTTTTTTATTAGCAAACATTTGAAGCCTGGAGAAATGTGTTTCTTATAACGGCTGGTGTATTGTTCCTGTGTGGTACGCTGTATTTACTTTTTGCCGACTCATCTTTACAACCATGGAATGATGGCTACTCTCAATCTGTTGAGTGTGGTAAACATGACAATGACAATGACATTGAGGCTGAAGAAAGTTCAACAATAGAAAATAACACTCTAATGGACAAAAGTATTGGACAAAATAATTGAGTTCCTTCTACAAATCGGAAAAATCTTTTCCGATTTAAGATAATAGTCAACTTGTTGCAATTTCTATAGTGTTTTTCGATAATCCTGTGTTCTTAGATTAAATAAGTAGTGGTATTTTGAGGTAAAGTACTTAATGCAAACAAATGGTTTATACATTTAAGTATTTTTCGTAAAAAATAAAATTTGTTGTTATAATTTAAAACTTATAAATTATTATGCCTTCAGCCATATGGCTACAGAGGGTATTTGGAGTCGATATAGCGATGTCCGTCCGTCTGTCTGGCTGGAAGTTGCGCACAATAACTCTCGAAAGGAGTATCCGATTTGATCCAAACTTCTTCAAATTACACACATCACAATATTTTTATTAGTCCAAGGTCTGGTGTGAAGATGGAATATATCGATCCACTCCTTCTGGTACCTCACCCACAATGGGCCAAAATTCTAAAAATTTATGAAGCTCATAAAATACTCACGCACATCTTATGATTTCCATAAACAAAAAATCTGTTATAAAGATGATAGAGATCGGACCATTCCTTCTGGTACCTTTCCAACAAACGGTTAAAATTTTGAATAAACAAAACGGTCATAAAATCCAAAATAAGCATCCGGTTCTCTTAAAATTACACACATCTCAGCATTTTTATTTGCCCAAGGTCTGGTGTGAAGATGGAATATATCGGTCGACTCCTTCTGGTACCTCCTCCACAAAGGGAAACTCATAAAACATGAAATTTACATCCGATTCCATTCAGACTTGGTGCATCTCAATATTTCCATAAATATAAGATCTGTTATAATGATTACAGAGATCGGACCATTCCTTCTGGTACCTCCCCCACAAAGGGTAAAATTTTTGAATAACCAAAATGATCATAAAATCCGAAATAAGCATCTGGATCTCCTCAAATAACACACATCGCAACATCCTTGGGTCAAGATCACGTACCTCCCCCACAAATGGTCAACATTTTGATTATTCATGAAGTTCATAAAACGCGAAAATAACGTACGATTCGATTCAGACTTGATACATCACAAAATCTGAAATAAAGATTGCACCATTTCTTCTGGTATCACCCCCACAAAGGGTTAAAATTTTGAATAACCATCCGAAATCATCATTCGGTTCTCTGCAAAGATGAAAATGATATACATTTGCCAGCCCCTTCTGGTACCTCATCCACAAAGGGTTAAAATTTCCATTACTTATATCTGTCATAACTTGCGAAACAAGTCGGCGATTCATTACAACTTGCTATATCTAAATATTTTTCTTAACCAGATATCTGAAATGAATATGGAATTTATGATTTTGCACAAAATTTCGATATAGTCAAAATTGGTCAATATTGGCTAAATGCTTCGGAAAAGAGTCAACAGTTTAAATAATCATAAGTCAAGGCTGGGGGTATACATCTGTCGACAAAATCGACTGATAATATTTTACTTGTTTTTATTTATAAATCGTAACAATAAGGAATTAAATAATTGAAAAAATATAGTTGAGTTTTTCTATTGAGACTTATGAACAATTAACAGCATAATAATGGATTAAGACTATTATTTGTTATTTTAATAATAAATGATCATGTTTCCCAAATAAAACGTTTAATAATGTCTGTTTTAATGGTTGATATAAACAAACTTTCTCCTGACGTTACCATAACACGGAGGGCGGAAAGGCCTATATTGGGTCAGCCAGTAATCCCATATGAGTACAAGCTTTAATTATTGTGAAAAAGAAAATTCAATCCCAATGCTGTAAAATCTACTAAATTTAATGTCACATTATAGTTAAATGTAGTTTTTTTTGTCAGACCTTGGAGAGATAAACTCAAATTAAACTTAAATTATAACTCACAATCTATAATTTAAAAAATAATTATACAATTTTACTGTTCAAAAATAAGATTCAATAAAAGAAGTTCCAAACTTGGATATAACTCACAATCTATAAATCAAAAAATAACTACACAATTTTACTGTTCAAAAATAAGATTCAATAAAAGAAGTTCCAAACTTGGATATAACTGACAATCTATAATTCAAAAATTAACTACACAATTTTACTGTTCAAAAGAAGTTTCAATAAAATAACAAATATATGCTTGTTTTGTTAGATTTTTAAAACATTTTATATTATACATAATATTTGTATTTATACATAATATTTCTCATATTTTAATCATAAAAATAAATGCTCGATTTATATCATTACAAAATATCAGTACAGAAGTTTTTGGCATTAACATTATATTTTCACAGCTCCCACGGCACACGTCCCAATGGGCTTGATTTCCAGTCATCCTCTACATAATTAAAACACATAAGTTATTTTTTTATATTATCCCATATCAATTTGCAATTACATACCTTCTACTTCGGTCCACAAACCATAGGTTTTACAATTTTCACTACATTCTGGGTCTTCATCTGTCTCGATATCCATTTTTGTTATGTTATTCTTCTTTAGTTGATTTAACAAATCTTCAGCTGTGTAGACATTAACATTGTCCTTATTTTGTTTCTTTGATTTTTCATTTCCAACATCGGTGTTTGCATTAAAATAGCAATCAATTAATTCGGTGAATGTTTGCATTTCAGTGGCACTTAATGCCGGAACTATGAGGGGCAATATTCTGAAAAATATAAAAAAAAATATTACATGTTTTTTTTTTTTTTTGAAAACCGTTCTCAGCGCATACCCTCTCTATTTGGAAGGAACTTGCAAAAGTAAAAATAAAAAAACTCAAATATGCCGAAAATGTAAAATAAAAAATAGAAATTGCCGCTATAATTTAAAATCCAGAGAAGTAGGTGCCTATTACGAGCTTCAAACATCAAGAATATGGTTATATGGGACGTATACGAGACCGTGGACTCCTACAGTCAAATACCATGTTTGGGATAATTGTGTTAAAAAAATTATTGGCGGCTATACGAAGGCGGGGGTCTGTACAGAAAATCTTCTGACATAGGAGAAAGTACCCATCACGCAAATCATCAAAATACCAAATATCTTGAGGTACAGTTATATGAGGACTATACCAAAGCTTGGTACATTTATAATGTGCAATATCTTCAATGTGAATCATACTTAAAATTGGTCTGTGCTCTGTCAGTTTTCAGCTAATGCTGTTTTTTTTTTTTTTTTTTGTTATAGAGGTTTGTCCAATTTTTGATCCACATTATGAGCGGATGTTGTCGACTTCATTGCACTTATCCTCTTTCATAGGTTTCGTTTTAGTCTTACTAAGCATATTTTATTTAGTCTTACTAACATATTATTTACGGAGTTAATCGATTTGAAAGCTAGTTGATAGTTGTCCTTATATCAGATATCAGATTTCCAGAGCTTTTCTGAGAAACGTTCTCGTGCGATGAAATTTGTCGAGGCGGTGATTGCCAAACTTTTGAAGCCGCGCCAATTTGCTTATCCGTGATTAAAAATACATTTCTCATAGCATGGTGGGTCGAATGGTGTATTCGGGGAGACTATGATAAAGATTTGTATGACGGTCTGGTGCACTATGAGCACTATTTAGCTATTCTTTATCAATTATACATATGGCGATTTCGGAACTATCATAAGAAGTAAGAATATTTTTTTTCGTTTATTAAAAATATAATTCCAGCTCAACTTACCCTTTTAATATGGGTGCAGTATATTCATTGGCAGCTTCAAGACGTTCCTCGAGAAAATCTCTTTCGAATACCCACACCCAGGGTCGTCGAAAATGATCACCGAATAATAGGGTTTTCTTCATACCAACACCACTATAAATATACAATTCTCGGGTACCCTCAGATATTTCCTTAAGGTTATTCAAAGAAAATGTTGGTTCCTTTATATTGGTATTCTGTTAAGCAAAACAAAAACGTAAATACAAACTTAATACTCTTGTCGAACTATTATTACCTCATCCATTTCGGCCTTATACATTTGTTTACACTGGCGGAACGCCTTAAATCCTTTGAGTATCTGTACAGCCCAAAAACTTGCCGAAGCACGTTTCGTGGCCTCCACAATAGGACTTTCGGCAATATCGATTAAGGCATAGAAAAAATCATCGAGGAAACCATTTATTGCCAACATTCGAAATAGAGTTTGATTGGCTGTAATTAAAGATTCCATTTCCGCCGAAGAATCCTCAATGCCTGATACAGAGAAAAAGTAGCGCATTCTCAACAAAGCTCCTACATAGATTGTCGCAACATCTTTTATGACAATATCACGTTTAACCAAGCCATATAACTCTTGTGCAATGTGATCAAAAATGTCTTGTAGTTTCTCAAAATTGTACTTTTGATAGTACTCTTTTAGGTTGTGAAAACGTTTTCCATGCATGTGTCGTTTCAATGTCTTAATATTGATTGCACCTTTCATATGACCCTCCAAAGCGGCATCAAAAATGTCACATAGTGTTGACACCTTATCATCAAGTTCGGTTCTATCTTTGCGCCTTATCCGCGTGGCATCTACGTCACGCATACTCTCCAACTGCGTCCTCCAGTAATAATCGTGCAGCCAAACAATGCAATACTCTGCGGTATTTCTTAGCACCTGGAGAGGAGGCAACACCTGACCGTGGGCACATATGTGCCGCAAATCAACAACAAATGATTCGAGACCCAATTCTTTTGCCGTCTGGTACATTGTTCGCATATTGTGGGTTTGCATTATGGATGACATAAAATTGAAGAAGCGTGTAAAGGCATTCGCATACAAAGTTTGTAAATCATCGTCGGAATATATTGAATCGGGATGATCTTTTTGTTGAACTTCGACAATGACAGCGGTTGCCAAAACTGCCGCTGGGCATTGTGTACTCCGTCTCAGATTCCAAATACGTATCTGGGAAAGCGCTTGCTGTCGCGTTTCCGCAGAATAGTTGTCACCAAACAACCATTCATAAACTTTGTTAAATTCAGAACTGAAAGTGGAAAAATATCAAGTTTTAGTTTCGAGAATGATGTGAAAAAACACATCAACTTACACATTTCTCCATGGTCCAACAACAGTGCGCCGTTTTGTGCTGTCCTGAGAAAATGATTCCAATGGATCGTTTGAGATTTGGCTGTTCTCCATAGAGATGTCTTTGTCACAATGCATTTTATTTTATGTTCGCTAGTGATTTTTTTAAAATAAATGTAAACAAGTAAAACGAATGGAACACGTGTGAAGAGGTAAGGCAAGAGGCAACACGCCGTGTGTATAGAAAGAGGGTGAAATGGAATGCAAACAGCTGTTTCAATACCGGAGAAAGAAGAAGAACGCAGCCCCTATACAATTTGCACATATTAGCTCTGTTCCATTGCGGAAAAAAACAATGTGTTCCCACAAATTTTAAAAACCATATAAAATGAGAAGATTTTTTTTCACTTTTTTGGCTATTGTTTATCTTTTGTTCTGGGATTTCAATCACAATAATGCATTTTGATATTACATTTGGTAGTCAGCTGGCTTGGCAGAGGGACCTTATATTTGGGCCATGCCATGGTGAAAGAATACAGGTAGATGCACCAACGCTTGGGAACATTGATATGTCAAAATTTTTAATTTTTTTTGTCAAAATTAAGTAGGTTTTTATATATTTTCTTATAAAACGCAGATAGAGGTTGTTAAAATATGAATTTTTCAACAATTTTTAAAAATTTCAATAATTTTCAACATTTTCAATTTCATAATCGGCTTGCCCCAGCAGCTGTGTCGATGCGACTACCTATATTCTTCTACCATGGGTCATGCTCTATTCCTTTATATACAAGAATCTTCCTACTTACTCTAAACCATGGTAGAACAATGCAGATAGTCGCATCGAAACAGCTGCTGGGACAATGAACTGTCAAACTAATTTTGAAATTGAAAATTTTGAATTAAAAGTTATTCAAATTCGTAAAAATTGTTGAAAAGTGAATATCATAATCATCTCTGAATATCATTATATAAAAAATACTTATTTTTGAAAAAAATATTTCAAAACTTTTGACATATCAATGTTTCCTAGTGTTGATGCATCTACCTGTATTCTTCTACCACGCTTCTTAGGTTGGAAATACATAAAGCGCATATTTGGCTGGCTTAAGTCATCGGCTGGCTTCTTCGTAGATGAACAGTTTTTAGGTTGACTTAGTTCGAATTTGGGCCTAGGCTCTGTTCATTTCCGAAGAAGCCAGCCGATGACTTAAGCCAGCCAGATAAGCGCATTGTGTATTCCCACCTTTACTCTAAAAATGTTCCTTCCAAAAGAGAGTGGTATTTGCACTCCCCTATTTTTGCAGTATTTGCCATTTTTAAAAAACAAAGTAATAAAGCAATGATGAATCCATGAGATTTCAACTGTTCGGAGCAGTTTCAACTGCTCGGAGAAGTGTTCACTCTAGCTTCCGAACCACATTAAGTAAAATTTTACTCAGATGTTTCTTAGGCCTGCAGTACTTTTGGTATTTAAAATGGCTCATGTAAGTCCATGTTTTGGTATAGCCCTCATATAATAGTACATAAAATTGTTTGTGTAAGTCTACGTCCTCATATAGATCCCCCCCCCCCCCCCCCCCAAACGGTACCTCCCGATATTCGGTATTTTGATGATTTTAGAGGAATTATTTCAAATTTGGTATTTGAAGTTCGTAATGGATACTACAGCCTACGACAGAAAATTGTCTGTGTAGGTCTACGTCTTCGTATAGCCCCCATATAACTGTTCCGGCGAATTTAACGGTTTCTGCATGTTTTTTTCATCATTTCAAAACGAATTTGCTGTAATTTAGGAGTATGTATTCCCAGTATGTAGGAAACATTCTTGCAGAAAACTATACATGTAACTTTGGTCCGAGGTACCAAAATTTGGACCGATATTGGCCATTTGGTGCACAATTAACCCGAAATCGGTTGAAGATGTATTTGGGAGTTATATCCAGATCTAAACCGATCCAAATTTGATGTACTTGCTTCTAGACTGAATTCGGTGGTATATACCAAAATTCAGGTTAGTTGGACTTATACTGGCCATTTGGTGCACAATTAAACCGAAATCGTTTGAAAATATATGGGAGCTATATCTAAATCTGATCCGATTATAACCAACTTCAATAGAGTTCGTCCTTGGGCCAAACAAATATTGTTTGCAAAATTTCATCCCAATCGGATAATAAATGCGACATGCTTTTGTTCACAGGAATACATGGACTCAGAAAGTGATTTTATGAAGAACTATGGGTCTATCTCGCTTCCTTCTCAATGTTATAAACAAATGCACAAAGACATAATACCCTTACCACTGTGTGGTGTAGGATATAAAAATTAGTGAAGCTATTTTTATAGCTCTTATACCATTTGACGAATTAAAGATCTTAAACATTCTTCAGCTTTCGATATTTTTGTTTTTTTTTTTTTTTCAAAATCATTGTAATATGTTGTTTTGTTTATTTAATACTTCTGACAATACAGTCCATAAAGGTAGGTCTCTTTACTTTACAACTTTCCCTAACTTATGGTACCTTGTCTTTATTGTACCATAGAACCATGCATATATCTTTTATTTCGTTATTACGTCTAAAATTAATTATTTATTTTTTAACCGAATCTTCTTTCTGACTACTCGGTATAACTTCATTGTCTGAAGAAAAATTGGACGTTGGTGTATCCCTTTCGAATAAATCATGGTCCGGTACAAATGGCTTATTCAAGGACGAGCTAAGTTTTCGCAAAACATTTGGATTCATCTGAAGTATTCTTTCCACTAAGTCACGTAAATAATTTACTTGTAAGTTTAAAACTATCGCCAGGGCGTCTAGATGATAGTCGTACAAGCGATATTTAATTTTTTCTATTTCCAAAACATGTCTCAAATCTTTCGTGTTAAAAACGCAACGCAACGATTCAGTCAGAGATGGTGATGATGATGTTGATGAATCTTTTAAATCCATTGATTGCGTTTCATCTGGTGTAATTATGTTAGGTTGGGGAATTATTAGAGGCTTGTTTAGTACTGCATCTGGGGGAAGTTGATATTTAAAATGGGGTGGATAAATATCGGGCAGCATTGATGTTTTTGGAAAAAATCGGTTTTGCTGATTGTATAGAACATCTGAAGGTAAATGATATTGGAAAAATGGCTGATATATATTCGGCAACATAGATTCCCTTTTTTGTATTATAGAAGACCGATCTTTTTTGATATTGGAATTCTTAATTGCGTGTTTAGAGGTATTTTTATTCCTATTAGATATTACTGATGGCTCCCGTTTCTTTCTCTTAATACCAAGGTTTGATGTTGTTTGACTTTCTGTTGCCGAAGGTAAAGAACAGGTCCTGAAAAAATCATATGCTATTATTTCGGAAGGAATAAATTTAAGGGATGTACATAATGTTACTGTGGAAGGAGAGAACAAAGTAAAAATACAACATCCAGTATAGAATTGTAATAATTACCTTGCATTTTGATTGGAATTTTCACCGGATAAATTCGACATTTTCGCCGATTTTTCTTTCTTAATAAATGTGCTCTGTCGTCGGTATGCATTTACATGATTCTTATTATTTTCTTTGGCAGGCGATGTTTCAATCAAGCACGCTTCAGATTTATGTGTTAATAAATCTGTTAATATATCTTCTTCCAAATTCCTTTTCCCACCTCTTTTTCGATTATCTTTCTGTGTAGAATTTTGAGTAGTTGCATTAGTATGGGTCTCGCTATCTTTTGTCTTAATTGCGTAACATTTTGCATGGTCGTATGATAGAATATTTGTTACAATTTCTTCTTCAGTTTTGCTATATTTCTGTATTTTATCGTCAATTCCTGCAGATCTCTGACAAAAACTACCTTCATTACAGCTTTGAGTAATAACAGATAGTTTTTCTTTGGAATAACTGCTACAGAAAAAAAAAAACAAAAGAAGTGTAAAATAGTAAATTGTTTAAGAACTTTTGAAAAAATGCATATCACAATTTAATTTTAAAATTAAATAAAACTCTTTTATACAAACAGAAGTGGTGGCATTAATTTTTGAATAACTATCCCCAATTTAATGTATTACCATACGAAACTTGTGCTCATATTGTCTTGGAAATGAATATTTCCAAACCGAACTTTATAATAGCAATGAGTGTTCAGAGGGAATAATAAGAACTTGTAGATTATGAATATTATATTACAATTTAAGCACACAAAAATGTCCCTTCCAACTCCATATATCTTTGACAATTTAAATTCCCTTATATTTACCAATTTTGTTGATTTAAAGTGTGTTCCGATTTGATTTTTGATAGGTCCCAAGAGTTTTGAACTCCTTGATCTGTTATAGCCTTTTGCTGTTCTTTTTGGCTAGTTTTCGATGCTTCATAGTTATTGGATGGCGTCAATGCAGGATTTGTACTCTTTATACGACGCCTTCTACTTTTTTTAAGCGTAAAGCGGAATTTCCTTTTCCTTTTAAAATTTGGGTTTTTTCTATATGTTTCGCAAACATTAATATTTGTTGTAAAACTTTGCTTTAGATTCACTAGCGCAATTCCTTCTTCGTCTTCTCTTATATCGGTCGGGGAAAATAATGCTTGTGTTTCTGGCAAGGTTTTACATTTTGTGGTGCATTCTTTTGCCTCAAAAATATTTGACTGAGGTGTAATGCATGAGTTTTGTTCATCCGGTTTCTTTTGAAAGGCATATGATTCGATTCGTTTACGTTTCTCTAACAAACGCTGAGAACGACGAAGTCCACAATGGGTATCTAAGAATGAAATAAAAACTAATTTTTGATAAACAAAATTAAAAATTTATTACCTTCTGCCATATCTTCCACCTCAGAACAATAGGTCGCTTGACTGTCGCACTTGAATAATTTATTTTTTTTCATTATTCTTTTGTCATTATTTGATTGATTAAAATTTAATTGTCAAAATAACGGTAACATATTTTTCTTTATCTATTGAAGTTTGTCGGCGGCATTCTGCGTATAATTGTCAGCTTTGTTATCATATTGAAATTACGCTACGTTTACATGGTGCAATATCAAGACACAAATAGTATTTTTTACAAACAATAAATATATAGCAACTTAAATAAATTATGATTGTAGACTTGATAGAAATGTTATTGAAAGTAAACAAAACAATAATTTTTTAATAAATTATTTTAATTTCAAAGATGTACATTTTTAGAACATAAGTTATTAAATTAAAAATAGAGAACAAATATTTCAAATAAAATATATTATTCTAATAATAAATATATTATTCTAAAATAAAACGCTTTTCTGACTGGCTTAAGTCTACATTACATTTAAGCTACATTATTCACATTTAAGCTACATTATTCACCAGGCCGAACTTGCAGCATTTTTACTTGTTTCTCAAGATTTATTTCGCTACAAAAAATGTAATTTTTGTCCATACATACGTTGTAATACGCATGGTACAATAAAAAGGTAAGGTAAAGCTTCCAGCTGATTACAATTTTTTTCTAAGTGTGCTCGACTTCTGCCTATTTTGTGTATGTATTTATTGTTTTGAAAAAAAAAAAAAACAAAATATTTTCAAAATAAGGATTGGAAGATACTTAAATTCCGGGGCGCACATTTTTGATATTAACCAGATTTGCCACGGAATTAAAAGATTGAACGCTTAGGATCATATTTTTAAGAAAATATCCAGACATTTCATTTATCTTTCGCGATATTAGACTCATTTTAAAAATGAAAAAAAATGAAAACACCTTGTCTGACAGGAATCGGGCATAGCCTCAAGGCTGTATTTCTTTAGTTTTACAAAGCTGTTCTACCTTCTTATTGTACCATGGTAATACCCATTTTGATTACAACTGAATTTTAATATTTTCATGTTAATCCAGGCAAATAAAACAATTAAAATCGATTAGTTTCAGTGTCCTACCTTGATTTCATTATACCATGATTTTACATATGATTCATAATTTTATCAAGCTATCACACGCTTGCATATGTTATTTTTTATTTCTTTTTGTGCACTTATGCTATGGAAAATTGAACCACTGGTGACCTTCTGCAAGGAAAATAATGCATCTTCTAATGCATTATAATTTTCTACGATATCATAAAGGGAAAGTCGGCTATCGTAGTATAATCTTTTAGATTCTTGTAGTTCTGGATCAGAACAATGAAATGTAAATAACACTACACCCAGCGAAAGCATTTCCGTTGTATGTAGATTCCAATATACCCTGTCATGAGATCTATTTTTGTATGGTAAACCTGGTTGAATAAATCCGGATGAAGCAATAAATCATGATAAAGTGCGTTAATCCGGATAACATTTAATATATATAGGTGACATAATCACATGGCACGCGATTCGCTCTCTATTCGTTGTTCGACCATTAATTATGAAATATCTTCTTGATTCCCCACATAGAAATTTTCTGAGCGAACAAAGAATCACTCTCAAAACTATGGTGAAATGTGTGCCATCCCCAACAAACGAGAAAAATTATCGAAAAAAAAAATTATGACATTGCAAAATTCAAAATAGAAAAATTTAATGAAATTTTAACATTTTTCAGAAAGACTGAAAATTATCAATCAACTATATAATGTTGAGTGATTGTCGTACCGTATTTAAAAACAAAAAAAATACAAAAATGTGTGTAAAATGTCAACATTTATACAAAAAGTTCAAGACATGAATGAAAATAGTAAATTGTTAAATGAGAGATAAAATAAATCTTTGGAGGAAAAACAATAAGTTCTTCTATTATTATTAATGCTAATTTCATGTACTTTCGTACAAATTCCTATAAAAATCAATTAACAAAAAAATTGAAAAAAGGGAATTATGTTACTATGAAATACGAATCATGTCGCATGAACGGGTTAATTCGTGTACCTAATACTGAGAGCGAACAACGTGATTGAAAGTATAATGAGAACATAGCACAAAAAATTCAGAACGATAACCCATTTGTTTTAAGTAAATACCATGGTAGAAAAATACAGGTAGATGCATCAACGCTTGGAAGCATTGATATGTCAAAAAATTTTAAATTTCTTTTTAAATATAAGTACATTTTTATATGTTTTCTTATACGACATCATTCGCAGGTTATAATACGCGTTTTTCAACAATTTTTACAAATTTAAATAATTTTTCATTCAACATTTTCAATTCCAAAATTGGTTTGACAATTCATTGTCCCAGCAGCTGTGTCGATGCGTCTACCTATATTCTTCTACCATGGTAAATACACAAATCGAATGAATTCGGCAAACAGAACTAGCTCCATTAGTTCCTTTCATGAAAATCATCTGTTAAACTGAACAACTCTCTTTGGCCACATTATATTCATTACGTTATTTGTATGTGAACAATATCTTTATTTATTTCTTTCGTATATCCTTGAGTTAAAGAAAACATGTTCAGAAATATAAATAAAACATGCATTAATATTTTGCGCCAAGTTGTAAGTAAGCCACTAATTTATATATCAAGCATATTTAATTAATAATTCTACAACAAACTTTAGGGTGCCGAACAAAAATGTTGTTACTCAACCAAACCAAAAACTAGTCAAATTGATTCTATGGGCCAATCTATAGCTGACAAAGGGTATGTGCAACTGTAAAATAAATTGGAAATCCTTATTAATACAAACCCTATTCTCTTTACTTTATTCAGTTTTTTGAGACCACACAAGCCTTATAACGCTCCAGCTGACGCTGCAGATAAAGTTCGTGCTATTTGTGGATCACTGCAAATATCCAATAAGCCGGACTACCAGCTAAAATCATTAGAAGAGAAATTCAAGTTTTTAGAAGCTTGTTTTGCCGATTTCAAGCACAGTGTTCCAAATTCCCAGATCTATGAAATTAAGACAGTTGGTATGTACACATTCACCATGGGACGGCAAAGGAAATGCAATTCTATAACCGAGTCTTCTTTATTCTCTTTAGGTGATGTAATTAAATTCTACGAAACATCTGTAAATACTACAGTTCCTCTTGATGCTCTGAAGACAATGGAACTTCCCGAAAATTTGCACATACAATATGATTACTTACGATTCAATTCCGAAACTGATACCAAATTCAACGGCCAAACTGCATTCCCCAAGAGTTCGACTTTGGTAACGGGTCTGAAATATCGTGGCAAATATGTTGGCAATGAAGCTAAGCAATCATGGCCTTAAATTCGACTTCTTTTAGACCCCAATAAATACACATACATTGTTTGTTATATTAATGTAAATGCTATTCTGTCTTAAGATTTAATCATTGACATAAATCTAGAACTTCATTAGACCCTCTACTGTTGGCACTAGACTACTATCCATTAGAGAATCTATGGCTTTCTGCACTCGAATATCTTTGAGCAGTGCCAGAAGGCGTATATCACTTTTAACTGCATCTAATGTTGGATACATTAGATCATAGTGTGTTTCAGCAACAGATGGCTTATTCAAAATGTTTAATATTTTCTTTTGTAGCTCAATTTCGGGGTCTGGTGTACCCTGATCGAGTGACTCCTCTTCAGCGTCGCCCAATTCTACTTTCAGCTGTAAAAGTCGCCTGTCTTGCAAATATTTAATTATACGATCATATTGCAGCACTGTCAAGGGCATATTGTTGGCCAAAAGATTCAAAAGGCTTTGTATGGCATCGGGATGTCTCTCTTTCAAGGGAGGGGCTATGTAATTGGCTGCGGCAGGTATTATCGGTACTGGATTTGGTAGATTTCCAACTTTGTTTTGAACTGACTGTAAAGCTGCCGAATTTTTGTCACGCATCATTTTTCTTCTGAAGTCGTCTGCCATTAAAGAAATGGCATCTTCCACCGGCATGTTACGGTGTTCTGCCGGTTGGCCATATAAAATATTTACAGTTATACTGTTATGTTCTTCGTGTTGATTTGTAACTAAAATGGCATATAAACATCCACGTGATGCTATATTGGAAAGCTGAAAATGTCAATTTAGAGGAATTCGTGATATTGGTTTATTTGTTTGCCCAATTACATACCACTTTACCCAAAGGTACATCTTCGTTGGGGAATAAAACATCAACTCGCAAGTTCAGTCTTTTCAATCGTTCCTCTATCATTTCTGCATATTTGCTGTGGACAAATAAACTATTTTTAACAAATCACCCTCATATGTTTTCCTCACAAACTTACGTATTCTTTCGATCCACGACTATAATCTCGCAATCATTATATCCACCATTATAGCCATTATCGTCGTCCCCAACTGCTTTTATGCTTGTATTTTTCTGATTTTGATTCCAATTCGCTCCAGTCGCATTATTTCCCTGTGCCAGATTTGTTCCGGCTGCATTGGCATTCGTTTTATTGCCTCCTTGTTGTTGTGTTCCTGGTTTCTTTTGATTGGCATTACGCACAGTTATAGTATTGCCTTTGAATGTGGACTTATTCAGCGATTTGGCAACTTTATTGGCTATTTCCTCTGATTCAAATTGCACAAATCCAAAATTTTTCTGGACCAATGATGCCAAAACCTTTGCATACGGCAAACATATACTCTCCAATTCCTCGCGCGTGCATACCGGCAAGTTGCCAATAAATATTCGATTCTTTACTGTATTAGGATCCCTTATTATTGCCAAACTTTTTTTATCCGCTGAATCTGCCATTGTATCAAGCGATATTTTTGTGTATTTTGTATTTGCATAAATAAATTACTTATTTGTAGTAGGGATAGGTAAGTCGACTTCCAATTAATCGAATAATCGACTTTAAGTACTCAAAGTTCTGAGACTTGGGCGAAAATTGAGTACTCGACTATTCACAGTCAATTCTTCGACTTATGCTATGTTCTCATTGCAATTTCAATAACGTTGTTCTCTCTCGAAATTAGGTACACGAATTAACCAGTTCACACGACACGATTCGTAATTCATAGTAACATAATTCCTTTTTTGGAACAACTCTAGTTTAGTAAAAACTCTTAGTTTTTTTCGTAATTTTTTCCAGAGGTAGGTATTTTTACCCTGATCCCGGAAAACTATTTTTTTCTTGGGGGACGGACCCGGGACCCCAGATTTTTGACTCGAAATTCCGGGATCAAGACCCCGCCTGGACCCGGATCCACTTACCCAATATAGACAATATGGGTATCGATTGAAAGCTTATGGAAATACCTATCCAACAAATGGTCACATGAAGGGGTAAGTTGACATGGTTCGGAAGTTATAGTCAAATTATCGATTTTTTGGACCCGGATTTTTTATTAAACCCCCAAAAAGTCAAAAAAGGGCCCATTATGGGGGTCAACAAAATTGTTTCAAATTATAGCTGACACTCTTACCTTTCCAAAATGCTACAATTTGTGCTAATACCTTTTTCGGTTCCAAAGATATGGGTCTTTCCATCCGCATAACCCGATTCTAACCAGTTCATTAAAATGATGTTTTTAATAAAAAAAAAGTGTTTATTTCGCTTAGCAGTCGTCGGAATAACAAAAGTTTTCTAAATTTGGCACTTTTTGTAAATAGCCGGCCTTCGGCCGGGGCTTGAGATTTTCGCCCATGGGTATGTCCGACACCGGCTAACGCGAACAAAAGGTTCATAATTTCGGCACTTTTTGTAAGTAGCCGGCCTTCGGCCGGGGCTTGAGATTTTCTCCTCTGGGTATGTCCTAAACCGGCTAACGCGAACCAAAGTTTTCTAAATTTGACACTTTTCGTATATAGCCGGCCTTCGGCCGGGGCTTGAGATTTTCTCCTCTGGGTATGTCCCACACCGGCTAACGCGAACCAAAGTTTTCTAAATTGGATACCTTTTGTAAGTAGCCGGCCTTCGGCCGGGGCTTGAGATTTTCTCCTCAGGGTATGTCCCACACCGGCTAACGCGAACCAAAGGTTCATAATTTCGGCACTTTTTGTAAGTAGCAGGCCTTCGGCCGGGGCTTGAGATTTTCTCCTCTGGGTATGTCCTACACCGGCTAACGCGAACCAAAGATTTCTGAATTTCATTCTTACGCAAAATATACCTTTTTTTATTGAAAACATAGTTTTAATGAACTGGTTAGAATCGGATTATGCGGATGGAAAGACCCATATCTCTGGACTCAGTAAAGGCATTAGCACAAATTGGACCTTTTTGGAAAGGTAGAAGCGTCAGCTATAATTTGGCATCTATTTTTTTGTCCCCCATAATGGACCTTTTTTTGACTTTTTGGGGGTTGTATAAAAAATCCGGGTCCAAAAAATCGGTAATTTGACTATAACTTCCGAACCGTAACATCTTACCCTCATCATGTGACCACTTGTTGGATAGGTATTTTCATAAGCTTTTCCATACTATACCCATATTGTCTATATCGGGTCAGTGGATCCGGGTCTAGTCGGGGTCCCGAACCGGGACTTTCGGGTCAAAAATCTGGGGTCCCAGGTCCGTCCCCCAAGAAAAAAATAGTTTTCCGGGATCATGGTTAAAATACCTACCACTGAAAAAATTTTCGAAAAAATTGTAGAGTTTTTACTAAACTAGAGTTAAGCCCCTTTTTTTTGATAATTTTTATAGGAATTAATAATATATAAATTCGATGGCAGACTCATTTTTTGTACCGACAAAAATTTTTGAAAATAATGCCTCCTTTGTTTCCAGTTTTCTGTCAAATTTCCAACTCGTGGACAAAAATTTACTTTTGTTTGAATGCACATACGCCATTCAACATTATTGGTCTGTTCCAGAACTGCAAGAATTTAAAAGTTTTTACTACGATAACCGATTTTCATTTTACGATATCGAAAAAATTGCAAAACTAGTAGATTTTTGCAGGTTCTGGAACAGACCATATATTTTTTCATTCACAATTATCAGCCATCCTGAAAAATTTTACAATTTTATTAAATTTTTCTATTTTGAATATTGAAATGTCATAATTAATTTTTTCGATAAATGCTCTCATTTGTTAGGAATGGTACACATTTCATCGTAGTTCTGAGAGTGATTTGAATGGAACAAACAACAAAAATCTTTGTTCGCTCAGAAAATTTTGTGTGGGGAATCAAGTAGATATTTCATAAAAAAAATGGTCGAACAACGAATAGAGAGCGAATCACGTGCCATGTGAACTTAGCATTACTTCACTCACTGTTTTTTTTTTTTTTTTTCAAATTCTTATTCAACTAATGTGCCCAATACCCCCAATACCATTGTCCTTGTTAAGGTGAGCTGAGTTGGTTGTTTTTGTGGTTGAATGGTGCTTCTAAAGCGTGCGCACTTCTGTCCTGTTGCGTTGTTGCAAAACAGAGCGAATGCGCGTGAAAGACGTCCCCAACGATGAAAAAACATTCGTTGTCCAGCAGTTTGTAAACAAACAAAATTATAGTGTTAATTGATCTTGAAAATATTTTTTTTAAATAATAAAAATTATATGTCCTTGCATCTTAAGCCGCGGTGACTAAGCCTCCAAACAATTTTCAACAAATTAATTGTAAAAATATATTTATTTATATGATATTGATCATTATTAACAAAAAGTAAATAGATAAATATTAAAGCGTTGTTAACATTACGACACCAAATCCTTTAGGGGCACAAATTATTAAACCGATTGGAACCTTTTTTAATTCAAACACAGCTTTTGTTTCGGTTCACCTGTTTTTTAACAATGTCTTGGTTCATGGTTTGATTTATTTACAAATATTAAGTTCGGTGTGATCTACATATTAATAATATGTTATATTTTGGTAGGTGTTATGTCACTATATTATAACTATGGTAGAATAATACAGGTAGTTGCACCAACGCTTGGAAACATTAATTTCTCAAAAAATTTTAAATGATTTCTCAAAAATAAGAAGATTTTTATATGTTTTCTTATACGACGTGAGACGGAGCTTATTACAATATGACTTTTTAAACAATTTATACAATTTTGAATAATTTTTCATTCAAAATTTTTAATTACAAAATTGTTTTGACAGTTCATTTTCCCATCACCTGTGTCAATGCGTCTGCCTATATTCTTCTACCATGGTATGAACCTACATGAAATAACGTCAAACATATCATACAACATTTAAATGACAACAAACAACTATAGACATCTTTTGGGTGGGCGACGGCAACCCTGTTTGGAAATGAAATGACCGAATTGAATTCAGTTTTGCAGAACTATCTGGCTCTGTGGGAACTTGCGTAGCAAAGTTGAAAAGACAATCTATAGTTGAATACAGTTTTTGTGGAATTAAGGATTAAAAAAATAGACTATAACTGAAGTGTAATAATGTATTTCCGTGAATTTTCATGAATATATTCCCTAATCTTAGTATTTTGTGACAAGGTTGATTGTTGCTACAAGTATGTGAGTGAGTGTGTGTGTGTGTCTCAAGTCTATACAAATAAGAGTGTGTGGGTGAATTTTTGCCGACAACTAGAAAGTGACAACTATAGTGGCAATGAAGTGAATAAGAGAAGTTGGAATATCAAAAAAGAAACGAAAAGAAAAGAATATTAAAACGCAAATTTATACGTTTTAATTGTTGCTTTATAGCTATAAAACATTGAAAATTATCTACGCAAACTAAAATTCAGCCCATCTATGTGAATAAGTTGAAATATACTGAGAAGTGACAAAGATTAGTAAAAGAGGGGAAAGTTGCCAATTTGCGGCAGTGAGAGAAAATCAATTTTTCGCTATTTTATCGTCTATGGCTGTGGCTGTATGTGCGGCGCGTGAGTGTGTGCGTTCCAAAGAAATGAGAAATACACAGTGGTGGAAATAATAGGGTATCAACGATAAATGTTTGTAAAATGTATAAATAAATAACAATTGTTTATATTTACAATGAAAAGAATTAATTGAAGAAAAAGAAGAGTTCATCATGGATACATTAAAGAATGCCAAAATCTCTGTGTAAATACCTATAATTTATACCAAAAAATACAACCCTGAATGAGTGTATAACATGAAAAAATCTGTATTTCTGCTCGCCAACGCCATTTCAAGTCTTCTCATCGCAGTCGCAAACGTCAACGTTAGTCGTCAATGTTACTCTACGCGCTGTTCGTTGTCGTCGCGTTCGTTATTATAAAATATTTTCCTTTATCCGCCGTTGTTGTGTGTATATTTATTTAGTATCTAAGCAAAAAATTTAATTATTACGGGTTAGTAGTCTCTCTAAATACAAAACATCGCAAGAACAAAAAACAAAAAGTTAATACGAAAATTCCAAAAATGATTTAGTTGCTAAACTCGTTACAAGATTCTACGAAAAGTAATAGAAAATTATCGATTAGAAATCACAATTGAATGGAAAGTGGAACATAAAAAATTGTTAATGAGCAGATGTAAATGCACTCAAAAGCAAAAGAAGTACTCAAAAAATTCCAGACATCAAATTGGGTCTGTTGTGGCGTGACAAATGGAAAATATCATATCAAGAGAAAATGTCGAAATTAATATCAATTTTATAAAAGATCAAATTAAAAAATTCCTATATGACGCGTAATTTTGCAATTCAGTTTTTTCTCGTTTTTTTTTCTCTGTGTTCTCTTTTGTCATTTCCGTTAAAAGGGGAAAGAAACAAGAAAAATAAATACAACGAAAACACAAAAGAGTGTAATGTCAATGAGTGAGTGAGTAAGTGAGTGCTACAAGACATGAGCAAGCAGAGCAGCAGTACCGAACAGCAACAAGGACGGCTGCAGCGAAAATAAACTCAACATAAAGTAGAAGTTTATTGTTTCTTCTGTGGTTGGCTTTTTTGCTTGT